CAGCGGATCATTTTGCAAGTAAATATTTACCTGAAGTACTCGGAAAAATACATTCCGATGAGGTGAACCGGGTTTGAATCCAATTGAAGGCAGGGTGACACGAATTACGCACCCGGTTCGCACCAAACACAGTGCTCCCTTCAAATATCCTCAGTGGTAGACTGATAATGGGGTTGCCTCCCTTTGACATCAAGCTAACCGTGGGAAGTTTTTGTCTTTTTTCTCTTATGTAATTCAAATGAGGGTTAGTTCCATCGAAATGTCTTCCACAAAGACAAATTTCTCCCAGAACTTGATCCAGGAGTCCCCTTGTCTTCTGGATTGGATTTAAAATTAGAAGACTGCGAGGTTAAACATTAGTAGTTGTAAACCCAAAATTGGGACGGCTGTTCAACGACGGCTTATATTAAAAAAAAATCGGGAGAGGTTTTGCGTTGCATCATTATAATGTTTTGCAGAACTGTAAAGTTTTCGGATGAAAAAAAAAATCAGATTAAATATTTCGACTCATCCACATCTTTTATCTAGTTTAGTCTTATTTTGTAATTTTCTTTTGCTTTTGTTACAACAGTTTCGTCGAAAGTGTGTTTTGAACAAAGAAGTTGCACTTAAGCAATATCTATGTATTGTGTGAAGTATACAATAAAAATTGAGACTATTCTCATTTAATGACACTGGTTTTATTTAGTTAAAATGTTAATTTTGTTTTAATTCGATAAACTTTTTTAATTCTTTAAATGGTCAAAAGGGTTGCAAAAACTTAAAATTAAAGTCAATTTATTAGATAATTAGGCGAAGAAGAAGAAGATATCTTTCATAAAAGTCAAATCCTGAAAATCACGGAAAAATACTCATGGTTTACTCTTCAAGTAATATGCACATATAAGAGAGCATTTATTGTTGAATTTCAAATGAGTGCTGCAGCAGAGATCATTTAGCAAGTTAATATTAACCTGGAGTGTTCGAAAAAGAAACTTGAGCTGTTCTATGTGGCATTCATCGCAACATAATACTATGCAACTGTGGAATTTTTTGTGCTATATAACTGAAGTTTTCAGAGGAAAAAAAACAGTTTTAATATTTTGCCTCATCCACATCTTAATCCAGTTTTGTCTTATGCTTTCTCTTTTCTTCTGCTAAAAAAATTCGTCGAGAGTGAGTTTTGATCAGAGAAGTTGTACTTAAACAATATTTATGTGTTGTGGGATGTGTACTTTAAATATGAGGTTTTTCTCATTTAAGGATTGGTTTCTTTTACTAAAAATTTAGATTTTTTTTAAATTTTATAAACTTTAAATCGTCGAAACGGAACAATCCAAAGAAAATGGTCAATGCGAACTAAATATAATCATGTAAAAAATTCTTTTAATTTTTACATTTAAAAGATTTAATTTCCTAAATATTTGGAGTTATTCGGTATATAAAATATTACACAACTATGTTACATTACGTAGTATGCTTTCCATTACGTAGTAAGAAGCCAGCTGGGAAATTTAAAAGATGAACTGATCTAGTCCCACTTCTAAAAATTATTTCTGATCAAATAAATATTAAGTAACATTTAGATTTTCAAAAAAAAAAGAAAAAAACTGACTCATAGAACAGCTCAAGTTTCTTCTTCGAACACTCCAGGTAAGTATTAATTTGCAAAATGATCTCTGCTGCAACACTCATTTGAAATTCAACAATAAATGCTCTCTTATATGTGTATATTACTTGAAGAGTAAACCACGAGTATTTTTCCGTGATTTTCAGGATTTGACTTTTGTGAAAGATAATTCATGTTTTAATCGAAATTTCGTCACTTTTATGGATGAAAAATACAAAAATAATGGAATATAAGCTTAATTGCATCATAAATCAAATTTTTACATCTCAGTAAGATGCAACCATCAAAAAAAAATTAAAAAAAATAAAGTAAAAAAATATATTAAAAAAAAACAGGATTAAGCATAGAACTAAGCATATATATTTATACATTTTAACCCTAATAATTGTCTAAACTGGATAATTGGATAGCAGTAGAATCATTCATTTAATTTTAGTTTCTGAGATTCCAATTAAGTCGAAATCTATTCAATGTGTTACATTTTATTTGATGCATGAAACGGTACTTTTGAAAAGAAATTTAAAAGCGTGCAATTCCTTTCAACAATTTACGTCTTGACGCATGAGCCTTAAGGGCCTGGATCACCGTATTCCAATACTAAACAATTTTGCAATATCGTAAAAATTCAAATATCGTGAAACTTTCTTTTTATTAATTATTTTTTTTCTTTTAATTAAAAATTGAAGTATTTATTAAGTGGAAGCAGGGACAAGTTTATCTGAATAGAAACACATGCGTTTTGATGACTTTTATTCATTTTAAACTCGTCTTCCTTAAAATAATGTTTATAAAAATATTTTTCGAATGATATTTCCCCATTTTTTATCTTAATGAAGTACAAACACGAGACATGCGGTTTTGGAGTAGAATTGTTACTTAGGTCAAGGTATTAGTTAGGTCCAATATGGACTGCAGTACCAGGGAATTAGTAAGAAAGTAATGGTTTAAAAACATCAAAAAATAATTTTTATTTTTTGTGTTTGAAAAAAAAGGATGGTGATATATTAAATAAATCAGCTGGAAGAGACACTTAAATAACAATTTCAGTTTAATTTTTTTTTGTCGTCTGCCTGTTTTAGGCAGTGGGTGTGCGATTGTTCCTGTTTCTCAGTGGCGCCATCTATGGCCAGGAATTCGAGTTCTGCCACGCCATTCACACAACCACAACCCGTTTATAGGGCGGGTCACATTCACACTCAAAGGAGAAAGGACAAAGAACACACAGAGAGAGAAAGAAACACCCATGCCTTGCCCGGGATTCGAGCCCAGGACCTTTCTGATGCAAGGACAGTTCCCTGCCCCCTACACAGGCCGGTGGGCATTTCAATTTATTCCTTTGTTAAATGAAATGTTTTAATACATAAATTTTAGAACAAAATGGAATTGAGATGAAAGTGCATGAAATGTTATTAATTTATTAAAAATAACTATATCTCATATTTCCTCCATTCCAGCCTGTTAGAGATATTTATTTTGATTTCAATTTTTAAATCCCCACAAAACTTAGTTAAATTGTAAGAACTTTATATAAATTATCACGAAATATTATGTATATTTCTTTGAAAAATAATGTATCATTTTAACATCAATTGTTTTTAAAAAGATACGTTTCTTAGTTAAGTAGTCTTCTTAAAATAGTAATTTTAAGTAAAAATAATTCATTGTGTAAACTTCAAAGGAAAACTGAAGGATCGTAGAGATTTTAAAGTATTGAACTCATAAATTAGAATTTTTTTTCATATGTTTTAAAGAATTACTGATATATTAGATTCTAAATATGTTTCGGTATCCGTGATTAAAGAATAGAATTTGTATTATAATTCAAAGGAGAAGATAGTAGTCTTAAATATCTAATTTAACTAACACAACTCAGTAAAATCTTAAGGCTTAATATAACTATATAAAAAAATAACGAGAATTTAAACAAATTGAAACTAGCCTGATGTATATTTTAAATTTTATATATCTTTGAGTTTATATATATATAAGTATTGAACTCATATATTAGATTCAGAAGCATGTTTCTGGTATCCACGAATAAAGAATAAAATGTGTATTATAATTAAGAGGGAAAAAATTAGAATGCCTAAAATTTTAATTGAATTTAGTTTATATAACATCATTCAATAAAATTCAGAAGCTTAATATAACTATATTAGAAAATAACAAAAATTTAAACTGAATAAAAACTGTATGTACTGATATTTTCCATAGTAATTTAAATAACTAGTTTTTACTTAGAGCATTTTAGGAAAATATTCAATTATAACTGCTATATTGGAAGTTTTTGGAATTGAATCATCTTCACACTAAGAAAAAAAGTGTGGCTGAAACTATAAAAATAAGATAAGTAAAATTTATCTACTTTTTGGCTCTACGGTAATGTTTTTGGCGAAATTAATATTAAATACGGTTTTTATTATACGCGATAAAATTTGACAAATGTGGTTAAATTTAGTAATTTCATCATGAAACCTTAGAGAATGGTATAAAAATCACCCATTCGGCAAAATTTGCCTTTCAGTATTGTTTACTAAATGCGTGGTAATAAGAGCTTATTCAAATTCCAAAATATCCGGTAAACTGTCACCATATGAACAGAAGCTTTACCAAATGAATTTTTTATGCGGCCGTATATTTCATTTTCATTAACTATAAGTACTTTTTTTATTGGAAATGCCATTATCATACAGTGCTGTAATTTTATCAGAATTTTAATTTCTCCGTGAGATAAATGTGTACACGTAATTTGAAAAATAATAAAACTATTATACACATTCAAATTGAAGGAATTGTACTGCATATACAGAAAACAACACCATGCTTGGTGCTTTAATATTTTGTAAAATCAGTTGAAAAAACGAAATATTACAAAAAAATTAAAACTTGCTTAAAAGTACTGATTTAAAATAAGAATAATTTATTTTGTTTCTTTTTATTATAATAATAAATTTACAGTAAGTAAACTGCATAAATTTATCATTATTGAACTTTGAAAAAAGCATCTTTTCCTTTGACTTGTATATTTCTCAATCTAGTTCTTAAGACGAATCTGGAAACACGGTAGAAACAATCGTTATTTTAATTCCTCATTTACTTTGCTTAATAAATCAATTAGTTTCAACAAACACTTTTATTTAGTCGCTGTATCTTTTTTATTTTATTTAAAATTCCTTTTGAAGTGGCTGCAATCACGCTCAATTTTTCATTTTAAATAACAAGATTTCACGATGAAAATTTCTAGTGCCGCGAACACTCCAAGTTTTTGACGTTTTTCTCATCATTGATGGTAATTTAATTGAGTTGGCGATGATGTCTTGGCGAATCACGTAAACTCCTTTCATCTTCTAGCAACCCTGAGATCCAAAGCATCATGAGCCGCGGGAAACGAATAAATGTTAGCGTAGCTTCAGAAGCGGATAGAGATGTTTTCCGCTCTTCAGTCCCAACTCTTTCAATTCGATCTCATTCTCAATATATGATTTTACGAACGATCTCTTCTAACTGAGGTGTATCGTAAATCGACTAAACTTTTCTTCTCCAAAAAAACGAAGGAGAGAAAGAAATCTTTTTACTTTCATTAGTTTTTTTTTCTGTTAAAAAAAGTGGGAAAAAGTTTTGTAAAAGATCTTTAAATGGGACATTTAAAGATGCCGACTTTGAGAATAAACTATTTCTTTAAGTATGGATTTGTTGATGCTTAATAACAGTGAATAATTTTCTTAATTTAATCAACTAAAATAACTGGAGATAAAAACATTGAAGAACTTTCTCTTTTCCTTATGTGGGGCAGTTCAGTGGCATCAGTAATTTTTCTTCATGGATATCTGTGTGCAGTGGTCTATCAACTGTCCATTACAAAAGGTATTTCAATAATACATGTTTAATTCAATACTTGCAATGTCATTAAAATTAGATCACATAAATATATGAAGCGGAACAAAATTTTAAGCACACATTTTATTATACCGTTTACAAAAGTGAATCTTTTTTGATTTAAGTGAAGGCGTGACTATATTTTTCAGTAGAACTGTAAGCCTTTATACAAACATATTTTACTTCAATTACCTATATTTTAAAGGAATTTCCATTTTATCAATTATGAGTTCTTGATTTAAAAAAAGAAATTTTATTGTTTTTACTCGTCTTTATTAATTTCATCATATGGTTTCATTTTTTCATATCACCAAACATCATGACATTTTCAAAATTATTAGCATTTATTGTTGTCCAAGTTATAAGCATATATANTTTACAGTGGTTATATATATATATATATATATATACTTAACCCATTGACGGTTCTGCACGTAAAAAGAGTCGTATTTCAACCTGCAGTCATCTCTGCATAGAAAAACCTGTTTTCCCTGCTTTTAGATAGGAAAATAGTGTGTTGAGGGAAAACATTTTCCCAATTTTTTTCCATTTTCAAAACCACCAGTGGGTTGAAAGATTTATGTTTTTTGCACTTTATAATAAAACTTTTGAACAAGTAAATATTCCCCCCTGCCAATTAAACATTAATGTAAAATGTTACAAACATGGATACTTTGATTTTTAAATAATACACTTACAAATAAAAAAAAAAGAACGTATACCTTAGTTTAGTTAATTTCCACATTTTGCATATTGCTTAATCTTACGTCTACTCATATAAAAAAACTGTAAAATTAGTGGCATTGAAGTTATCTTTATAGCTAATAAACGCAGATTTGAAAAAAATGGCATATTAAAAAATCAGTCAACTTTTGAATAATTGCACAAATTTATAGTGTATTAATAGTATAATATATATGTCAAAAATATTCTTTTTCAAATGAGAAAAACATAATGGTTAGATAATTTTTGAAGAAAATTAAATATTGTTACATATATGCGATAAAAATAAAACTGGAGAAAAGTATTTATATTATCGGGTTGGAGGGAAAGTTCTGTCGTATTTTAAAGAAAGTATTTGAATTCATTTATAAAAATATGCGTTTAATATTAATCAATTTTATATGCTTCGTTATTTGTTACAACCTGTCGCCATCTTTCAGGTAACCTGTGAATTCCTGTTTTGTAGAAGTTCTCGTCCTTAGAATTGAAATAGTCAGCAACTGCCTTAGAGACACTTACAAAAGACTTGAATTTTTTACCCGTTAGATAATTTTGCAGAGATCTGAACAGATAACAATCTGATGGTGTAATGTCAGGTGAATACGGTGGGTGACTAAGGATTTCCCATCCTAACGCATTCAGTTTTTGAAGTGTCACTATTGCAGTATGCGCTCGAGCATTATCGTGGTGGAACACTATTCCTTTTCTGGACGCTAATGTTGGCCTTTTTTCTTTGATATCTGCTTTTAATTTATCTAGCTGATTGCAGTACAGAACCGCGTTGATGGTTTTTCCCTGTTTCTGCAACTCATAGTACACTGGACCTTTCCTGTCCCACCACAAACAAAGCAGTACTTTTCGCTGATGGATACTTGGTTTTGGAACTGTTGCTGACGATGTTCCTGGTTTGCAGTAGGATTTTTTTCTCTTAATATTCTCGTAAGGAGTCCACTTTTCATCTCCAGCAACCAGCCTGTCCAAAAACGGCTCCACATTGTCTCTAATCAGATGTGATGAACACATTCTTACACGATCAGATAAATTCTTTTCCGTTATTTCATGTGGAACCCAAACACTTTGCTTTAACACAAACCCAAGAGATTTAATGTGATCTCCAACAGTTGTATGATGAATGCCAAACTCTTCTGCAATTTGTCGACTTGTTAAATGTGGATTATTTTCCAACATGGATTGCAAAACATCACTATTGATTGACGACAGAACTTTCCCTCCAACCCAATAAATATATTAGTTTCTGATTTCTACAATTCTGATTGAGTTCTATCATCAAATCTAGGCGAAGTTGTATTCGATTAATCCACGTAGTGATGTACTGCTGCTTCACTACTCACATTAAAGAAATTATTCCCCCTTAATTGTTAGGGATCCTAATTATTTCATAATAGAAAAAATTATTTATGAAATTTTATTAGCCGGACGTTTCTAAGAACCAAACAGTTAATTTTACATTGAAAAATGTTTGTGATATTTTTATTAAGTAATTCTTTCATATTTTAGGAAAATAAAATTGCATATTTCAATGTTGTATAAAGTTTCCACAAATCTTATCAGTTTGAGACAATTTATATCTGTTTCGCATCAATTTGAATTCATCACTCAAAATATATAATGGAAACGGAAATTACCTCAATTCAATTAGACGTCAATAATTTTGCATATCTTTATTGTTAAATTATTTTCAATTGTAAAAATTTGACAAATAATTTCACATAAATATTTCAGATCCTGTTCGCATAAATATAGCAGATGCATAAAGCTGTGTCTCAAATTTATTCGATATTTTACTTAAAAGTTACAAAATATAACAAAATCACAATTTATGTTTGGGGAGTAATTTAAGGAAACGGTAATAATTAATACTGCGTATGAAAAATGTTTGTAATTACTTAAAATTAATGATGTTACTGTGTGATATCAATCATAAACTTTGACGAATGAAGTAATACACACATAACATACCTTGAAAAAGCAAAGAATTTTAAAATCATCTGCTTTTCCACTCATTTCTTGATATTCATTTTATTTTACATGTATCATTATATGTAAAATAATATAAATAAATAAATAAATAAATAAATAAATAAAAAATATCANTATATATATATATAATGAGAAAGAGAATGGTTTTACGGTTTTTACAGAAAAAGTGTGGTAAAATCCACCAGAATACGGGGAAATTTTCAGTGTTTCTGGTTCTAAGGAAACACTAAAAAGCTCAATAATTTTTACAAAAGCATTTTTTTAATGATTTCGGTAAACTAAACGAATTTTTTTATAATATGCGGTAAAATTTGGCAAAAATGATAAAATTTTATAATTTTTATTTCATGCTACCTTCGACCATGGCATAAAAACTATTTATTCGGTTTAATTTATTTTTCAGTTTCGTATTTTTTACTAAAAGTGCCGTAATGAATATTATTTTTGAAACCAGAATTTCCGGTAAACCATTATGTTTCGAAATAAACGGTTTAAAAATTGCATAATTTGGTTTTCTTGACCATAATTATGGCTATTTTTTAAACCAAAAGTGATATTACTCTTCAAAGCGGTATACTTATCAGAATTTCTTTCTTCGTCTATCCTTATAGCTCATAAGTTTTGCCATATAAAATGCAAAAAACTATAAAAAAAAATATTTACAATAAGTATAAGAGTTTCATACGTAAGGAAATCTTTGATACTTCGTAATTTAGAAGGGAGAAATGTTAAGTAACAAATCACATTCATTAGTTCTGCGTATTTTCTTGATTTTTTAAAGCACTTCTCAATCGTATTTGTGATTATTTATGTTTCGAATGATGTTTTTAATCAAATATTCTTTTTTTCACTTTTCTATAAGTTTATACTCGAAAGGTGAATATGAAAGTAGGAAGTAATAACGCTAATTTAAGTGCAAACTGTTTGAAATTCCGGTTCAAATTACTGTGAAAAGTATTCGAAGCTTCTGTGCAATATCCGTAATTTCTATTTTATTGCGATATCCATTTTTATTTAAAATTTTATGTCATAATTTTTGCCGTAATACTTATAAAGAAACATCGATTCAGACATTCTACAGTAAATATTACTATAAGAATTTAGATTTATTAAATTTTTGTCTGTAAAATTTTATGGAAAAAATAGATTTAACGGTAAAAAGTACCGCATCTTGCATATTGTACTTTATGCCGTAATTTTATACGGATTTAATTTCTGTTAAGTGCGGTAGAACGATAATTTAGGCAAACGTTTGTTTTCTTTGTATTAGTAAAGGAAAAAATTGAAATCGAAACAAGAATGAAGTTTAATTTTATTTTTTTAATGAAGCCAGTAATAAAAGTTTACCTTATGCAAAATACATATTTGATTTGAAATGTATATTAACCCCTTCATAAATGGTAGAATGGAAAAAAAAGAGCTTCCTCTGGCCTGCATACTCCGAGTCTAAACGTTTTAAAGGTGACTATGAGGACTAATACGTGATTTAATCTGAGAGTACTGCATTGGTATGATTCTGCGCTGTTTTCAAGTCAGTAAAATCATTTTATATAATCATGTGATCACAATTATTTGCTCACTGTTCGAAAGGGTTAAGAATTTAGTAAATAAAAAACTACAATCATTAATGAGGGTAAGATTGGTAAAAAACTTTATCTCAGTAATATTAATATTACTACTGAAAATTTTATTAATTTAGAAACAAAACGTTAGCATGTATAAAAAGCATATTATAAATTAATGGCTACCATTCAAACTACTATGACTACTTCGTTTGAATTATAATCTAACTACTAAAACAATTTCATGACTACTAAAAACTACTATTTGTACAACAATTCTAATATCTTTATTTTTTTAACCTTACTTAAAATAATTTTTCTTTTCAACTGCTCTTAAAAATATATTTTGTTAACTGCTTTATATATAACTGCTTTAATGTTTAAATAACATTAAAGTGAGACTTTAATGTTATTTAAAATATGCTACCAAAATTTTTTTCAGAAACATTTTAAAAAGAAAATAGACGATTCATTTCTTTCATAATAATTATCATTTTAATTTTTAAAAAAAAATTTTTTGAAACATATTTCCTGAATAATAATGCTTCATAAATTAGTTTACTCCAATTACAAAATTCATTCGAATTTAGTGGCAAGTGTTTAATACCTTTTTTTGTTATAGCTGCGAGTTTTCCATTAATTTTCAATTGTACTGTACTTTAATTTGGTACAGCTGCACGAAATTAAAAAATATAAGATAAA